CACTCCTCACTCCATGAGCACTTGGGTTGGATGTCCACAACAGGAGTGGTGGGCCATGTGGGCGTTTTTACTTACCAGTTGCAAAATTCCAGAGCAGCAATGCTAAGTTGGCCGAAACTTTAAATGAAAATTAAAACAAATCCCCTTTGGGATGAGATGGAAATGTCAGCCCAAGGAGGAATCTGTTCTCAGTAAGTTGCGAGCAACCAAAGGAGATACAAGTTGGAATCCAGCCTTGGCTGCACCACACACCATCTGTCCACCTTGTGGAGTAAAATAAAGGAAAAGCAGTGTGTGTGCAAGTATCTTCTCCCTCGCTGGAGAGCCCAGGGGCCAGAGAAGTGGCTTGTCTTCCCCGATACATTTCTTGAAAGGGAAATGACAGATTCATTTCCCTGCAGTGGTGACGCTGTGCATTGCTCTCTCATCCTACTCGCTTCTTCCCTTGGCAAGCAGGGGCACAGACTGCCAGGCTGGGACCTGAGTGAGAAGGCTCTGTTCCCATGGTTAGAGATACAAGTTTAGCAAATTGCAGGAGAACAACAAGAGAGAGCATGGGATGCTGAAGTCTCCCCATCGGGCACCCTGCTGGCAAAATGCAGGGGCTTGCTTCTGCCCTTATGGGCGCCTGAGCGTTGCTGGTACTGAGCTCTCTCAGTCAGGCAAAAGCTCTTCTCCCTCTTCTCCCCCCTGCCCTTGTACATTTTCGTAACCTTGCAAAAGTTTCAGACAACGTCATCTTTAACCTACTGCAGGCAGGACTCGGGAGCCACGTGAGGGATGGCGAGGGGGACCACGCTGGGTCAGCACACCAGCCCCATGGCCAATGAGCAGGGAGATGGACTACACTCCCCTGCATGCCACCCCGAAAGGGGTGCCGGAATGTCTCCCCCTTGGCATTGCATTTTGAAAGATGTGTCTGGCGAGACAGCTGGCTGGCTTTGGCAGGCACTGCCCTCAGTGTGATCATTAATTAAAGCACAGTTGAGAAAAGCACAGCACAAGCTTAGTCTGCAGCCAGATCTGCAGCTCACTAGCAGAGTAGGGCATCCTGCTCTATTCCATACCTCTTTTTTCTAAAGGAGTTGGTGGCTTACACTGTGTACTGCAAATAAGAGAGCGGGGTGAAGAGGAATGAATCCTTGTGCTAATCAGTGAGAAAGGGCCCTGTCTGAGAGATAAGGAACAGAACAGCAGGTCATATCACTGCAGTAGAAAGGATAAGCAAGGCAAGACATAATAGCTAAAGGCTATTTTATACAAGCCTCCTCCTGCTTCCCCCGTGTCACCAAAGACTGAAAGAAGCATTCTGCAAAAGAGAAGAGTGAGAAGGAGGAACAGGTGCCCTGCCTACTGCAGTCAGAGCTGCAGCTGCTGCATATCTCCCCCTATTTCTATGCCATCAGCTGAGCTCTTCCAGGTACCAACACTGAAGTTGCACATATTGTGTTCCTAAACAGACACACAGCTGCTTCCTGCTGTCACCTTTCCCACTGCTGCCCATTTAGGGAGATGCAAGATAACCAGAACACACAGACCTTCCTGCAACTGTAGCTCTCACCTGCCTGCCTGCCACTGGGCTGCCCCTGCTGAGAGGTACCTGCACCCCATGCTCACTGCCACTGTGGAAAAGCAGGCAAATAATGTGCCACAAAAAGGGCCTGTTGATAAGTGTTGGTGGGACAGGCTTACTAAAGTCACCTTCAAGCCCCTGGATGGTTTGATGCCATGTTGCTCCTTCCTCAGAGCAAGGAAGTAACAAGACGAGAGGACCTCCACTGCATGTAAAGTTATTGCTGTAGCCCAAGTATTGATTATTGAAACAGGCAGGGAAGAGTAATTTTTTATCCCCAGACTGGGGTTTCATTAAAAATGGCTGGTTTTCAGAAAAATAGATTTTAAGAAGCATTTCATCTTTGAACAAACTTAAAGCAGGAGAAAAGAATTCCTTTGTTGTTGTTGTCGTTGTTTTTTCTTTGAACTTATTAGCATAGAAATCACATGGAAGGTCGTGGAAGCTCTTTGGCTTTATTGTTACCATTTTTCTTCTGGGGAGAAAGAGAAAATTCAAATATTTACAGGGGAAAAAAAAAAAGAAAAAACCCCCCACAACTGTGACTCCTTACTTACTTGTACTTCCTAGTCAGAAGGAGACCAGAACATGTTTTTTTTGCTTGTTTCTAAGCAGATGCTTTTGTTGGAAGACCTCTCACCCTCAGCTATCAGATCTTTTATATTAATAGAATTAAAGCAGCACAAAAATGTTCAGTGTCATGTTGTGTCACGCCCCACCCCTCCCCTCCTCTCTGTGTTTTAAACTCTCTTAGGAGAATTGCTGGGTAAATGACATTTTGGGGTTGGTTCTCCCCTTGCTTGCTATTGTATGAGGACAGTGAATTTGCTAGGGGTTTAGCACAGCTGCACCACATAAACCACTGCTGCCCTCGTTGTGTTGGAGACGCTTGTGGGCTTGTTTGGGGTTTAACCTTCTGCGTGGTCTGTGGGTGCAAGTACCAGCCCTAGTTATGCAACTCCTATCTCCATTCCTCCAGGCTTTCCCCTGCTCCTTATTAGAAACAATGTCTTTTAGCTCTCATCATATCACCTTCTACCCTCTTTGGAGTCCATGAACACTGTAAATCAGGCTCTGTTTTACAGATGGAGTTGTGCTTTCCCCTGTAGGATTATGGATTTTGCAGAGGAAGAGGAACTCGAGTCCAGTTAATGATTGCACTGAAGCACCTTGTGTTCATGCCATGAGGCTTCTTCTCCATCTGATCATGATTATGTGCTAAGGACAATAAGATTTTAAACGCTGGAAAATGTGCTGAGTCTCATCTATTTCAGGTTATTTTGCATTACAACAAACTTAGGCAATTTGCTCAAGATCTGAGGAACCAGAATTATCCCCTTCCACTGCCTTTCATCACTTGAAAGTTTTCTTTCAGTGTTTTCATTTTAATCTTCCTTCTTTTTCTTTTTTTTTTTTTTTTTAAGTGGAGACCTTGCATAACTCTTTCGTAAATACATATCTCTATGTCTTAAAATGTGGCATGAGCACGAACAAAAGTTATGCAAATAAGCATTTCAGTGTAACAAATTAGATTTAATTCTGAGTAGTTTGTCAATCTGCCTCCTGCCCTTGCTAGTGATGGGTTTCACAATCAGTATAGGGAATTAACTGAAAGTCTGACTACAGCCTGTGGATTTGCAGATGTTAGTGGGGGCCAGCAGTCCATGCAGGGCTGGTGAGCCAAGCATGGCCACTGCTCCTTTCTATCTGCTTAATCCGATTCTATAAGCAGTTAAAACTACACCACTTCTTTTCCCACAGTCATATTGCAATGCAAGCTTTTTTTCTGCAGTAGCCATGGGTGTAGTTGTGCAAATCAGGAGACTTCATGTTCTGTTTCGCTCTGATGGGGTTGGTAGCATCACCTGTTGATGAAGGTGGCCTGACAGTCTCCCTTACAGCAGCTTGCCTTATAAGTGTTTGTTCTTTTAGTTTGCCAGATGCTGCCATCAGGGAATGGAATTTTCTAGGAAGGATGTCTGACCCTAGATAGAGCCAGGCTGATTTCTAAGGGGGAAATTACGCTATTGAGTTTCAACCAAATTAGATCAAGACGAATGCATTGTTTAGTCCACACTGGGGAAGGAGAAAGACATGAGAAAACTCTTGCTATTGTTTTGACAAGAGCGTTTCAAACACCAGGTGTCAGAGGATATGCTTGGTACTTAGCAAGCTGCAGAACAAACCGTGCTTTTCCTGTCTCACACCACCACCATCCTCTGGTGAGTAAGGTTGGTCTCTCCTTTTTCCCAGCCTTTTCACCTCCAGACCTCTGGCCCTGACCCTCTCACTGCCCCCACCCTTTGCGTTAGCTCCCCCTCCCTGCCACCTGGTTGTCTCAGTGGAAAAGAAAGTCTCAGCATGAACAGTTTGTACCCTCATTAAGTTCTTCCAGTGCGTTTTGTGTAAAAATAGATACGAATTGATGGTGGAGGAACTTCTAGTTGTGTTCTGAGGGAGATGTATTCTCACCTACAGATGTTACTGGCCTTTTAGTGAAATCTAAAGTTGGAAAGTGACCCAGTTGTGCTACACTTCAGCTATTCTTATTGAATAGCCTCTCTAATATAAACCAGATATATTTTAGTTTCCAAAGGTGCCTGGTGTGAGAAAGATCAATTATTCTCAAAGTGAATCCCATTTGCTTCACGTTGCAAAACCCAGGGAGTCCTCATTCCCTGTGTCATAAGCTTCTTTATGAAGTTGGCAACAAACTGCAGAAGGCAATGAAAACTGGTATTTTGTTAAATTAATATTCTTACATAACTGATCTTTCACCCGGTGGTCACCGACGCAAGCCTCGCTGCAAACCGCACTTCCGAGAGGAGGGCAGGGAGAGAATCAATTTTTCCGTTTCTCGGGAGCACAGATGGAACCCTCCAGTGAATCAAGTAATTCCCCAAACTCGTATCCCCTCGAGAGCTGCCAAGACAAGGCTTCGCCAAAGGCCCCTCGCGGGCACGGCAGCGAGGAGGCGGCGAGCAGCGGGTTACTGGTGCAAAGGCAGGGAGATGAGGAGGTGGAGGCCACACCAGAGGCTCGGCGGAGCGAGGGTCGCCACGGGCGGGGAGGACCAAGGGGCCGCATCCCGGCGGTGGGGGCAGGGCTGGCCGGGCGGATGCGGGTGGGCTGTGCGGGGTCAGCCCGAGGATGGGGGGGGTTGTCGGGGCCGAGGGGTCCATGCCGGGGCCGTGCCACGGTCTGCGCTGCCCCCCGGGACCGGGATGAGGATCGGGACCGGGATGGGGATCGGGACCTGTCCAGCCCCTGAACCCGCGCCCCGCCCGCTCCGGCCCCGCCCCGCCGCGATCGCCCAATGCCCGCGGGGGGCTCATTTGCATATTTGCATATTGTCGGGCACTTAAGGGGCCGGGCGGGGCGCGGTGCTGGAAGGGCTTGGCGGTGCCGAGTGCTCTGGGGACGCTCCCGCCGCCGCCGGCCGTGCCCCGCCGCTTGTGTTTAGCTCCCGTCAGTTTTTAAAGCCAAAAAGTTACTTTTTAATTATTTTTAATTTTTTTTTCTTCTGTTTTCTTGTTTTTTTTTTTTTTTTTTTTTTGCGCCGAAACTTCTGCGCCGCGAGAGGAGGCGGGATGGGGAGGAAGGTGTTCCTGGCCGTCCTCTACCTCTGCCTGCGCTGGGTGCCTGCCCTCGGCGGTGAGTCCGGGACGGGGGCTGGGGATCTGGACCGAGCCCGGGGGCTGCCGGGCCTGCCTGCCGCTTTTGGGGAAGGGGGTTTTAAGGAGGAAACGCTGCCGGCATGGCGGGAAAGGGGAGTTTGCAACCTTTCCTTTGTAAAGCGCTCCCGGGGGTGTTTGGGATGCTGCGGGGCCCGGGTGTCGCGAGGTGGCCTCAGAAGGCGCTGGAGAGTGATACTGGGGGGTCCTGCGTCCCGTTAAGAGAGATGTGGAGTTTCTTCCCCAGCCGGAGCTCAGGCACATCCTGCCTGGCTGATGGCACGAGTTGTCAAGGCTTGGGATGTGTCTTTTCCCCGCAAGCAGGGTGGCTTCCAAGCCTCCCTTGCTCCAGCAAGGGGTCGGCACACCTGTAGCATCACGGTAAGGTCCCTTAGCCCTCTCCTCTGCTCTTCATGGGACTCATCCATCCATTTCCTACGGTTCTTGCTCCTAGACAAGGCAAGGCTGAGTTTCATTGGTATCACGATAATCTGTTTGAGTCGTAGTTAAATGCTCCTAATGCAGCAGAATCGATTAGGGAAAAACTGAGCAGAGAGGTGTCTTCTCGCGGTGTCTGTGGATTCACTTAGGGCTGTGCTTGCACTCTGCCTGTTGCACCTGCAGCCCAGGCTACGGGGAGAGGAACATGTGGACATGTTGACTGCTAGATGTTCGCTTTTGCTCTCTTGGTTAATCACACCACGAGTGCAGCTTTTATGAGCAAAAGTCTTGTTTTAGGAGACCATTACACCCGAAGCTGAGGTTAGCAGTACCCTGTCCCAGACTACTTTCTTACACTGATCTCCCACACACTGTGTCTATCTTTAAAGACCATGGCCTTAGAAGAAAATGTGGCTGTAGCTCTTAGACCTGCTGTGTGATACTAAAATGGAGTGTATAAACTGCTGTTTCTTCTACTGTGGATGCTTTTGTTATTGCTTTGTGACAAGGAAGCTGAAGGGAAGTATTCAAAAGTAAGAGGATGGGGTGCTAGGGCACAGCTAAAGAAATGTGTTCTTGCTTTCAATCAATCTTGTGCCATCAGAGACAATCAAAACTAGTTTTCATCGCAGTATCCAAGTTGTATACAGTAAAATAACTACCTTCCAAGAGCAGGCTTTCATTCCCACAGGAACTGACTTGCTACAGATGTACTAATAATATTCATTATTTCTCTGTAGGAACAGGTTATATGAAAGCAGATTGTGTGTTCATCCTAAAGCTATGCAAGCCTTCAGTCCCACACTATTTCTTGCACACCACAGTAAAAAGTGCTTTGAAACCATGGAAAACACATGATCCAGCCCTTCAGGAATCCGGAGTATTTAATAAACAACACAGAAAAAATATTCTAGGTGAAGACAATGTTGGTGTTACAGGAAAAGATAAAAACATTACTGATCAGAATACATTCTGATCCCTGTTTTTACCAATGTAAATTTAAAGTCAGCATATTTACACTGTTGTGTGTTGTGAGCTAGTGGATTTTACTACGTCTGTGTTTGGGGTAGACCTACCAGGACAGCTGTGATGTGGCTTTCCCAGAAACAATGTGTTTCTGAGAAGGCACAGAGGTGAGACTGTCAGGCATGAAAAGTGTTCTGGAGATTGGAATGACCATTAGTACTCCTCTCCTCTGTGCAGAAGTACTTGCATGCCAGGGCTTTCCCATGTGTCCTTCCCTCCTTATTGCTGCAAAGTCTGACAGTGGCTGCATTTTAACTGTCTTGGGCTAATTCCAGATATCCCTGGAGGGACTGATGGATGGCAAGAGCTCTGATGGATTGAGTTATGAGCATCCCAGCTGCAGATGAGCAAGGGTTTGACAGGGAGTGCCTTGGAGAGTGGCACCCATGTGCACAGTGTGAGAGCAGCAGTTTGCCAGCTGCAGGACTTGAGCTGGGAGGTCCTTGCTCAGCGTCTGAAGTTGTGCCTGGTAGCCTTTCAAAGGGGGTTGCTCTTTCCATTTGTGTTCACCTGTGGAGCGAAGCAGAACGTGCTCTCAGGGTTCTGCCGCTGAGGAGTACATAAATAAACTTGAAGTTGTAATTTTTTTTTTTTTTTTTACAGCAAGGTTAAACAATAACCTGACTTGTGAGGTAGGTTCCCTGGGATTGCAACACACAGTAGTCTGCTTTCAGTTTAGAGTGTAGATCAAATTAAATGGTAACAACTTCTGTGATACACCCCCTTTATTACAGCTGACTGCAAGTGTCCTTCAGAACTCTTAGGAATTCAGTATGACTGATTGATGGATGATCCTAATGCTGGCTGTCAGCTGAGGGTAGAGTTAATCCAGTAAACTATAGCTGGTGTTACATGCAGATGTTTGCTGCTGTGCATGTCTCTGTGGGCTGCAGTTTACACAGTCTAGCAGGACAATTTCAAGGATCTTTGCACCTAGCTAATAGTATTTCCATTTCTGAGCACGTAATGCTAGGAAGTTGCTGTTTATCAAAGATTCCCTCTTTAAAAACATAGCTTAGGTGCACTCCTTCTGTCAAATGCATTGTTATATTTTGGCAAGCTGTGTCCAGTGTGGGCAGCTTAACTTTTGGTTAATATTCCAGATGTTGTTACTTCCTCAAAACTCTCATTCTCCACCCATCTGACCAGGGATAAACAGTTTTCACAATCAAAATAATTTGCCAGGTTGCCTTGGGCTTCCTGTGAAGTAAACTTGAAACTGAATTCTCCTAATTACTGTGTCAGAATGCTTAAAGTCGGTGGGGTGCTTTCAAAATTGGTAATTGTTAGGAGTCCCTACCTGAATGCAGTTTCACAAGTTGCAAGTCAAACGTGCAAGAGAGCTTGAACAGGAAAAATAGAACTATTGACTTTTCCTAGTTTCTCAGCTTTTTCTTTCCACACTCTTGAGTTCTGTGAGATTCTCATTACCTTGATGCTCAGGACAGCTTTTTTGCTATGAAAACTGAGACTGTTGAAGTGGTGGTGTAAGAAAAACATCAGAAAAGTTTGTGGAGCATGGTAAAATGGTGAAGTTTGGCAGTGCAGCCTGTAGGCTGTTAGAACAGCCAACTTGCATCTGAAATTGGTCACTTAATCCTTTTCCAGTTGCCTAAGTAATCCCTTTGTAGGTCACCTTGTTAACTGTAACCACATAACAGTGGACAGAAAATTTTCTTTTGAAACAGGGGCTTGTGTTTTTAACTGTGTGCCTGGAAGCTTTTGCAATACAGAACACATGCTGTTATAATTCTTCTGAATTAAGTCTGGGAAAGTGTGGTTTTTAGCAAAAGGATGGAATTGTTTTCTCTAAATGTTTTTACCTCCAGGTCTGTTTTTCTCCAAGACCTTGTTTAGAAGTGGACTTGCATTCTTGTCTCAGGGTGGATGCATGTAAATTTCTTGCTATCTATGTTCTGTATCTTTGTTATGTAAAATATGATGTGAATTCAGATATATTTCTATTCACCTTTCAGAAACACGCTGAAAACTCCCCATTTGGTTTTTTTTTTTCCTGCTTTAATTAACTTGAGTTAAAGCATATTATCAACTAAACAGTGGTGACTCTGTGCATTGACTGTCTCCATTTCTCTGTGTAAAGAATGACACCCAACTGATTGACTGATTCAAAAAGACTCATCACTTTAAATCTATGAGGAGACGGTCTATGGCAAAAATCTATGTATGACAGAGTTCAGTGCTGAATCATTTTTACAAATAGACCCAAGATACATTATGAGATAACGAAAGCAGAAGTGGGAAACGCTAGTTTTCTGAAGTGACATGCTTTGTAACTTCTCTGCTTCAGGTTTAAAACCTGGTTTATGTAGATATTTGTCCGTGTGGTGAGTGTGTGCAGGCTATACATTCCTCTATACTTTATTTCTAAAACTTAATCAGCAGAAGGTGGGAGGTGAGGTGGTACCACAGCATATGTGCACTACAACATAAGGTGTAGACAAGTTATCTTAAGCTCTGAGCCATACAGAATTTGCAAAGCCAAACTCAGGCAAATTCTGAGGATACCTCCTCAGCACACCACGAAGAAGTCTGTAACAAACCCCACCACACACACTTTCCTTATCCAGAGGGTATCTTTCCTGCTGGGAACTGACCATATGTGGTCATTAGATAACACGGCGCTTTTTGTGGGCATAAGATGATAACAGTAATTTCTTCTGACTTTCTAATTCCTCCTACAACATAGTGAAATGAGCAGAGCGGCCACCTGCCACTTCCCTAACTCATGGGCTGCTTCTTTGCAGCTGCTGCTTTCCTGGTGGTGACTACATCTCAGTGATTTTCATGTCCTTAAATCCCTGCCAGAAGTTTTTAGTCTGAAACACGAATATATATGAAGAAATTAACACATCTTCAGTGGTAGATGCCACTGTGATGCAATATTTCTAAGTTTGATGCACTTTTCTAAGTGTACCCTTAAGTGAGGTGCACTTCAAATTGTAAATTTCCTATAAGCCTGTTTTCCAAAGAGTTGTGGCCTGAACTTAGATGCAAATTCTAGCATGTGTTTGTAATTGAAAACACACTACAAGACAGGATATCAATGTAATTTGGATTTTGGATAATTATCAGACGATAATCTGATGATTATCAGAAGGGAAATGATATCTAAGTATGAAAGGAAGCACTATTAACTAGTGTGCAAGTGGACTATTCTTGTTCACCTTCCTGTGCTGGGTGGGAATATACATAACTGAAAGTCCTTGCATTGCATGCCTTACAGTTGAAAGCTGTTCTTGTTCCTTTCAAGGTTTTACTGATTCACTGCTGAGTGAAAAGTTATAGTTTGTATTTAACCAATCAGCCTTTGGGACTTCCCTTTTTCTGGCTAGAAAAGTAAATAATATAAATCTAAAGATCTGTTTCAGAAAGGCGTTTTCCACACTCAGCTGGTGTAAAAAAAAACGTTTTGAAAATGTAAAAGTATAGCAAAGAGGCAAACATTTGGTTAGTTTAGTAAATTTAGCTTTCAGTAGGTAGGTGAAGTGTTTAACATTTTATAAATACTTCTACTGATTTGGAGAAAGGTATTTTCCATAGACTTTATCCTTTCTTTAGGGGCAAAGAGGCAGGAAGGAAATCCCCACTGTAATTATTCTGGATCAGCTAGCCGGCAGCTTAGTCAAGTCAAGGTCAAAACCTAAAACTGAGCACTGCCTCTGTGCATTGAACAGTTCTTATTCCCCTGCATGTGCTTTTCTTTTGAGAGATGAGAAATCCTGATGATTAGGCTTGTGTTAGGCCACTGATTACAGGCGACAAGATTCTCTGGGGCTTGTATGTAAGCACTTGTTGCAAGGCTGTGTGCTGGTTTTAGACCTCTTGCTTTAGACCCTGATTTCTGTGACCCTCCAAGCACAGCAAGAACCTCCCAGACTTTATAGAGCTACCTGAGGGTTGGGTGAGTCCAGGCATAAATTATGCCCTGATAACTGGTAGCTCAAAAGAGAAGATGAGAACCTGTTTTAGAAAAAAAATTAGCTATTCATCACCCAAGTGATGCAGCACAACTTTATGGATAAATGAAAATCTACCAATTATTGTAGAAAACCTCGTCTGCAATGCAAAAAAGAGAGGGAGTGGAAATCTGTTTTACTTGCCTGTCACGAGGTCCTTATTTGTCCCTTTGCATTTCTTTTGGAGGCTTGGAGCCATTCATTAACGTGTCTTTGGGAGTTTGTGAAATCTTGGTGGTCATGATGCCAGGAAACACAACTCTGAGTTGCTGAAACACAACTCAGGACAAAGTTGGCCTGAGTTCAGCTGCACTTGAAAAACAGGCAATCCGTATTTTCTAAACTCAGGTTGCCAAATTGGGCCTTGGGTTTTGAAAAGTCCACAGTTAATTAGAGGGTCTGTTGGATTTAGAGGTACTTAAGTATTGAATCAGATGTGAAAAGGGGAGACATTAAGTTTTTTCCCAGACAAAGGAAGTAGTGAGCATGAAACCTAAAGTCACTTCTATGCCTTGGAGCAAAAGTAATACGTTTTGAAGCTGAGAGCTGGAGGGAGTGATCTTTCCAGGCCATCACATACTTTGTGGTGATCTTCACCTCCCTCCCCATCCTGGGATTCAAAATAGCTTCAGGTAGATGAAGACATTTTCTTGCAGCTTATTTTTCTGTAGCTTATCAGATGATCTGAGAATGTACTGCCTTCAAAGTACAGGCTTCTGGTTTGCTAGTTCAGTTTTCCTGATGGGTGTCTGATCTCCTCACCTGCTGTTTGTCAAAAGTTAAAACTAGCATTTTGTTAAACAGTGGTGACTTCACAGCTCTTATTTTTAATACACTGAAGCTACTGGGTCCTATAAAGGGCCTTGTTGGGCAGTGATTATTGATGAGGTGATGTGGAAGATGCACCACCAAAATATGTAATAGTATGGTAGGAATTTGCTGCGTTCCTGCGTGACAGTCTGTGACTCTCCTGTGTGGTTTTCTGCACTCTTGTGGTAATTAACAGGTTTCCTGCTTAATGAAACGGGGGAAATACTGCCTCCTAAAAAGGATTCATACCTCTCTGACAGCTTGCGAGATGTTTTAGTAGGACTTTAGAGGGGGAGCAATTTTCACCCTTTGATTTTTCTCTTTGCATGGATGTTGTTTGGCCATTGAGTGCTGTAGGAAGTGAAAACCTCCTGTCCCCTTGACTGCTCCAGATACCTCTCCAGCACCATACCTGTGACTTCTGAACTGTTTTGTCCTAGTACCCCTAAAACACTGTGGTGCTTTCTGTCGTCTCGCGTTGCAGAAGCCAAAAACAATTTCGAGGGAATTGAGAGCAAGTTTTCCTTACGGACGCCTGCAGAGCCCGATGAGGATGTCTGCTACCTGGTGCCTGGGCAGGTGAACAGCCTGGCACGGTGCAACTTCAATCACACCAGTAAAACCTTTGTGGTGATCCACGGCTGGACGGTAAGACAAAGTGGGAGGAATCTCCCTTTTAACCACACTGCAGATAAACAGTGCTGAGGTGTCTGTATTTCGCAGATAATGTTAATCTCTCTCTCTCTCTCTCTCTTTTTTTTTTTTTTTTTTAAATTAAAAAACCCCACAACCAACAACAACAGGTGACAGGGATGTACGAAAGCTGGGTCCCAAAGCTTGTGGATGCTCTGTACAAGAGGGAACCTGATTCAAACGTCATTGTGGTTGACTGGCTAGTTCGGGCTCAGCAGCACTACCCAGTGTCTGCTGCATACACTAAGCTCGTGGGAAAGGATGTCGCTACATTTATTGACTGGATGGAGGTAAGACATGTAGACACACCTCACTCACATTGTGCATGATATCCTAGGAGACAAAGCAGCATTTGTACAGCTGTGTTAATCGTCTTCTGTTGGGTAGATGGAGTTAAACTATTGAAGACAGTACTTTTGTTGGACTGGTAAAATTCCAGCTTTAAGTTACTTGTTATTTCCTACTCAAAAAGGCTTTTTATAGTGCATTCCAGAAACTTCACCTTGTGGTCTCTGGAGCCCTGTGAGAAGAAGCTATGAAGGACAGATTCCTATATATTTTACAGCAACCAGCCCTTGGGAAACAGAAATCTACCCTTCCTTTGGGAAATAACTTAAGAGATGCAGAAATTGGTGGAAAGGGAGTGGCTGAAAACCTTTAATATCATACATAGTCCTGTATTCTGTCCTTTGTTCTGCAATTCTCTCTGGTTAGATTTTGCCCTAAGTTAGTTAACTCAAATGACCTAGTGGGGCACAAAATTATGATTAAATTATGATTACTGTGTAGTATTTCTTCTATTATTCACTGCTCAAAGAGAAATCCCAATATTAACAAAACATTTTCTTTTGTGGCTTCTGACATTTTTGTGTCTGGCTTCAAACTTCAAACAAATTGTTCTCTTGAACAGGAGCAATTCAATTATCCTCTCAACAATGTCCACTTGCTGGGGTACAGTCTAGGTGCTCATGCTGCTGGGATTGCTGGGAGCTTGACCAAGAAGAAGGTGAACAGAATTACTGGTAAGAAAACCTGTGACTCAAGAGTGGAGAGCCCTGTCTCTTCCATACTGAAACACGTTTCTCTGAAAAATCACCAGAATAATTGTTGCTTGTTGACAGTACTTTGGTTCTGTGTTCATGCTTTAATTGAAACTGCAGGGGCAGTATTTCTGTGGTAGAACTGAAAAAGGTTTGGAAAAGAACAACCAAGGTGGCGAGTGAGAAGCCTTGATTTGCTTCTTAACGAGAAATGAGCAAGTAGGCCATGATAAGAGACTGGCTGGGGGGAATGGGGTTGGGTGGGACTGGCCAAATCCATGGCTTGGAGAGGTCACAGTATCTCTTGCAGCATGAGAACTTCAGCTGGTTGTCTTCATCCAGGCAGTCATTCGAAAAGAACAGGATCTAAATCCTTCTGCAGTGGATATAGGACCTGCAGAACTCTTTGTCATGGAATGCTACACGTGCAAGAACTTTATAGCAGGCTCAAAGGGAGACTGGACAGATAATCAGAAGAGGTCCACTGTGGGTTATTAAAAAAATGAATCATAACAGGCTCAAAAATATCCTAGGCTGAAAATAATACTGTGAGAGTTCTGGGAAGGAGAACAAAGCTTAGATATGCCTGCCTTGTTGCTATGTGTGCTTAGATGGCTGTTTAAGGTGATTTTTGGAAACTGAGAAGGATGCTAGATGAGGTGGAGTGTGTGGCCACCCTGGGTCTAGTTTGCAGCCCAGGACCAGGAGAGCTGATTTCAGTGACAAAGGAAATGCAGGCATCAGCAAGTGAGCGTAAAAAAATTGCTCATCTGTGGTGTCTTTGTTGCTGAGAGAACTTGGGAGCAGCGTTCAAAAGGGAGCCTAGCTCCTGGCACCCTTTACTCTTTCACCTGAGCCTGGCTGTGATCCTAGATCCACAGGCATGCTGAGAGGTGGGCTAGGCAGCAGTTGCATCTGGAAAGGTTGAGTCCTGAAAAGATTAAAATCAGGAGACCAAAGGACTAGTCCCTCTATCCTTCCTTTCTCTCAGCTACACGTTTGTTGCTTTCACTGAGACTGTCAAACCACTGAAATACCAGTAGCCCTCTGTTATACTTCCATGGTTGCCCTTGATGCCCAGGATGAGCCCTTTCCCTGGGAAAACAAAACCTTTGAGCAAAGGGAACAGTGTTATGTGGTCCCTGAAGTCCTCACAGCGGTGGGGAAGCAGTTCAGACGGTGAAGCTAACCATGGTTGAACAACCCAGGTGCCTGTCCCCAGCTGAGGGCTACAGAAAAGACACATCCCTTCAGCTCTGCTTGCAGCCATCTCTCAGGTAGCTGTCTGAATTCAAAAGATAGTACTTCTTCGCTGGCAGAATAGTTCCACGCGTTTTTGATATCAGTGTTGCTGCAGTTTGACATTTTACCAAAATAATCCCCTTCCCCTGAGGTATGTAGACAGTGAAGCTCTCATTTGTTTCCTGGTTGTTCCCCTACCAGGGAGTTACTGGCAAGACATTTTTCCATACTTCAGAAGCTGCAGATACAAATTGTACAATTCTTGACAAGACAATGTTGAAAACACATTTATGAGCTTGTTTCTTCCATCCACTGGAAGTGCTACAGCTCTGAGGAAGTTATCAGGGCTTCCTTACATATGTCTGCATGCACTTTTTTTTTTTTTTTTTTAAACAGTGACAGCATTTCGAGGCTGTGTGTGTGTTTGATTCTCTTATATATACATGAATGCTACTTAAGTGATCCCACTGTAATGTCTGCAGAAAAAGCAATGCCACATGTGATATTCTGGCCCAGTGTGGGAGCTGAGTTTGGCATTTGTTGTCAGTGTTAGTGTCTCTGACAGTCTTTGTGGTTTGTTCCATAAAGGGCTGGATCCAGCTGGCCCTACCTTTGAGTATGCCGATGCCCCTACCCGCCTCTCCCCGGACGATGCTGATTTTGTGGATGTCCTGCACACCTACACTCGAGGCTCTCCTGACCGCAGTATTGGGATCCAGAAGCCCGTTGGACACATTGATATTTATCCCAACGGTGGGGGTTTCCAGCCAGGCTGCAACCTGGGAGAAGCACTCCGTCTGATTGCCGAGAAAGGCTTTGGAGGTGAGGTTGCTCTGAAACAAACGGTGTAACGTTCAGAGGGGGATCTTCAATAGCCTCATAGGTTTCTTGCAAGCCAAGGTCTCTGAGAGGCACAGGAATGTGTTCTTTTAAGTGCTTTTAAAGTCTGTAAAGCCCTGCTCTGGCATAGTGGATCGTGCCTGTTGACAGCATTGCTTAGGGATTCATATCTTTATATGCATGTGCATATGCACATTACACTTTTTCACTCTTTCAAGATGTGGACCAGCTGGTGAAATGCTCCCATGAACGATCCATTCACCTCTTCATTGACTCCCTCCTCTACGAAGAAAAGCCCAGCATGGCCTATCGCTGCAACACAAAGGAGGCCTTTGAGAAGGGTCTCTGCCTGAGCTGCCGCAAGAACCGCTGCAACAATTTGGGTTACAAGGTCAACAGAGTGAGAACAAAGAGAAACACCAAAATGTACTTGAAGACCCGTGCTCAGATGCCCTATAAAGGTAGGTCCTGCCTGCCTACTGGTGAGCAAGACTGGTACTTGGGCTGATCTGTGTGTCACAGTGGGCATGTGATGCAGATGATGATGTTGCTGATTTGATGCCTGTGGTGAGCAAGAGTGAAGCTTGCCTCTTGCTTGCCGTTGAGTGCAAGCTAAACTACAGTCTCAGAGAAATCAGTGCCATCTTACTCAAGGTGTGGGGGTAGGGTACAAAAAGAAAAGTGATTTGTAACAGGTTTCTAGGTAGCAAAACTAAAGAGGCTTACTCTGGGGCCCAATCGACTTGGAACAACCGAGTCTTCTAAATTTTTCAGTATTTTTCAACCAAATGAATTTTTACTATTGCTGGAGAAACAGTCAGCAGAGCTTAGTCTGATAAGCAACTTATTTAAGGATATGCACCCATCCAACTTGTACCTTTTGTAGTGCCCTTGCTAGAGGAGTACTAGCCCTCATTAAAATATCACAGCACTTCTTGTTTCCAGTTGCCACAGTGATAGGTCTGAGAAGGACACTGCCAGAGAGAAGAGGAAGGCTTTCAGCTGTAAAAGTAGCTTCTGAGTTGGATTTTACTACTTTATTTTTATTTTTTTTTCCTTCCTAGCTTTGCCTGTACCCCATGGTATGTTTGTTGTGTGCATTGTGTGGTGGACCAGCAATCAGAGGGCACGTTCCTGCAGTGTTAGAACAGACGCAAGAGTGGTTGGTGTTCTATTGGCATTTGGTGCTTAATATGCAGTGTCAGTGGGTTGTTTTTTTTATTTTTTTTATTTTTTTTAAACCAAGGTATGAGGAGGGCACAATCCATTTCAAGTCAAGGATAGCAATTCTTAAACATTCAATAGCAGGTTTAAAGGTGATACTGCAGACTCTGGGGTTGTTAGAGTGGCAGGTTGAATGCAGAGTTTAGTTGCGAGAACTGCAAAGGGTTTTGTTTTTTTTTTTTTTTTAATAGTGATTGCCTTGCATACTAATATTTACCTCCTCTCAAAAATAATTCCTTGGACACCTACAGGGAACTAAGCTCCTCATTTTAGTGAAGTTGGCATATTCCAGCCTAGGATTTTCAGGTGTGGGGTTGGGTGGTTTTGTTACCAGCAGTCTCTTTGGAGTTTTCCTAAAGGCATTTTCTTTTGCATTCTTCCAGTCTTTCACTACCAAGTCAAGATCCATTTCTTTGGAAAGACCAATATGACCAAGACAAATCAGCCATTCCTGATCTCCCTCTATGGCACTCTAGATGAGAGTGAGAAAATTTCTTTCACACTGTGAGTAGCTACAGAAACAATTACAATGTAGTGTTCAGTTTACATAAACTTGTTAAAGCCCCAGATTAAAGTCTTTTCTAGCTCCAGCTACAGAAATCTTACAGGGTCCCAGAATCTGCTCTTGTCCTTGATTGAGGGTATGCATCCACTTCTGAAGCCAATGAACTGAGCTCTACAGGAGCTCTTCTTGATAAGACATCTGAAATATGGAAATGTGAAGTCTGACCTGTGACTCAGCATGATAAGAGTTTTTCCTGTGCTTTATTTTATTTCCAGTATCTTTATGCCGTGTTCCAACTGTGTTAAGCCTTCTTAAAAGGTTTCTTAAAACCTGGAGTTAACTGCCTGATGGGTCTGAGGGCCTCAGTGCAAAAGCTGAGGGAGACACAGGATTTTACTTTCCCAGCTCTGCAAATTAGCAGAAATTTGTGCATACATCCTTGCACGTGGGCTGGCAGGGAATGGAGCTGGAAAGCACCAAAGTCTGTTTTCTGCTCTGAGGAATCCAGTAATTGGTGGTGCTTGTCTGGCTTCTCTGAGAGCCACCAATACAGGAGAAGACATCCGTTGCCCAGCAGACTGTCCCAGGATTTCACCAGCCTTGCTGCAGAAAGCTTTTACTTTTGCCTCCACAAAAGCTTAAAGTGTTTTGTCCTTATTTCATCCATCAGAGCTGTGGAGAAGGTTGCTTCTTTCTTCTCTAGAGTATAAAAAGTTGTGGTTCTTAATTTTCTCAATTTTCTTTATCTGTCCAACAATTTCAAAGGGGTTTTTTTGCTTTTCTTTTCCTTATTCTTCTACCCACAGGCCTGAAGTCTCCTCAAACAAGACCTTCTCCTTCCTGATTTACACAGAAGTGGACATTGGGGACCTGCTTATGCTGAAGCTGCAGTGGGAGAAAGACACTTTCTTCAGCTGGACTGACTGGTGGACTCCTTTTACTTTTGACATTCAGAGAGTCAGAGTGAAGTCAGGAGAAACTCAGAAAAAGTAACTTGTTTTGATTGTTAAAAGCTTTGACAGTGTTTCCTGATTTCTGGTATCTCACAGGGTGGGACAAACATTTGAATCAGTTAACAGATGGGTGCAGCACTGGTAGTCAGGGCTCCAGTGGCATCAAACCACCACTTAGGTCAGCCAGGCTCAGTTGTTTGCTTCCGCTGGGATATGCAATTTGTAGTCTTACTCACACAGGATTAATTTGCATATCACTGTCTCATCTGCCGCAGGTTAACTGTAATAATGCAGGAGAGTATCTCCATGAACCAGCATCAGTGGTTGTTTGCAGTTTCCTCCTCCATTTTCACGCTGCGTATTTGCGTGGTTTTTCTTGCAAAGAGGATGCTTAGGAAGGAGACTTTTAGAAGCCCTTCCAAAAGTGTGTTTGCACAAGGAATTTACTGCTTGGTTAAGCTGAATTTTCTTAGGAGTTGAATACCTGGATGGTGGAATAAAACTGAAAAAAAATGTGACTGCTGCAGGATGTTGCTAATGCATGAATGCTGAAACATCAAAGTTTGAACAGAGCTGCTTTGACATGAATCTTTTGAAATACCCACTCACTAGACATGAGATCTGTTTGCAGAACATGGACCCAGAACAGAGTATGTGTGTCCCATGTGCAGTATAGTAAATAATAAGTTCTCTCTTTGAATAAACAAGGCAGTCACTTGATCAAAGAACGGTTATCAGAGCTGAACAAATAGATGGGTGGAGAAAGTACTGATAAATAGAAAAGCAACTGCTCAGGTTTGCTGGAATTGACAACCTACTTCATTTGCAAACATTTGAGGGAGTAAGGCTTTCTTCCAAGTTCATTCACCTGACAAAAAACTCGCATAAGGACTGATTGAAATAAGATTCAAGAGACTTTGGGATAGACCTTCTGCTGTTTTTTTTAGCTACAAGAATATTTTATGCAAAAGATCATAGTGAAAGTTATGGCTACACTTTGATGTCTATGCATAAACTGTTCACCTATTTTTATTTTGCAGTGTTTCTTTTGTCACAGAATTCTCACACACTTGCAAAGTAGTAGTGCCTCACACGACAAAGTATAGAGACTGCTTCTAAGCAGCAATCCTGTTTGTAAGGTTAAAAAGTCATGTCTGGTTCAAACATGTGATCTTTTTTTTCCCTCCCCCCCAATATTTATTCCAGAGTGGTGTTCTGTTCTCGAGATGGCACCTCACGTCTCAGTAAGGGAGAAGAGGCAGCAATATTCGTGAAGTGCTCAGAGCAGCCCGCCAACAGGAAGAGAGGAGGGTATGAATGATCACTATTATTTTTGGATTGTTGGGAACACGTGTGGTAAAAAAACCCCTGCCCCACTGGTTAACTTTTGCACTAGTCCTCAAGGCTTCAGAATCATCCTGACTCAGACTAACCTGAGGTTTGATTATGGCAGTTTTAGCAGCTAAAAAACTATTAATTTGTTTCTCTGCTAACCATCTCCCTGTGTGGTTGTTGGCCTGCCTGAAAAGAAAGTTCACTGCTTCTCAGATTCACACAGTGGCCGTGTATGAGTGACTGCCAGAGAGGGTTTACTGGCAAGGCACTAGCACAAAGAGGAAAGCATGCCTCGATCTGCAGATGCCCTACACTTACCCTTAATGCTGAACATTGAAATGTCCCTACTGGGTCAGTTCAGAGCTCTTCATCCTCACTGGCCAGCAATAGATTTGGAGGCTGGTAGAGTAATGGAGCAGGCATATGCAGGTGCTCTTCTTGGCACACTGCTTTCTGCTGGCAACCATCATGTGAGTGACTTCCTGAGATGTGCATCTCTGATTTGGATCAGAGATTGTGTTTAATAGCCCTCGGTGCGCTTTAATATTTTTATCAACAATTTTTCTGACTCAGAGTAAACTCTCAAATGTGGGGCCAGTTTTCTTTGGACTTTATCCACCAAAGTTTGAGATAGAGTAGTGGTTATATTTATTTTAGTTCAATTGCTGTGTGTGAAAGGTCTCATGGGGACACTTCTAGACCGAGATCCAGCTCTGCGTAAAAAGGCACATGTGCTGGCCTTCACTCCAGGGCAACAACCTCGGGAGGCCTTGAGAGCTTTGTGTATCTGATGTGCACGATCAAGCAGAGGCCATGAGAAGCCCAAACACATAATTTATTTTCCTGATGAGTAGTGGGATTTTTTTTTTTAACTTTAAGACTAAAAGGAACAAGGTTTTTACATCTTCCTCATCAGCTTTTTATTTTTTCCCTCACAGTGCCAAGAAAGCCTCTAAAGAAAATTCTGCTCAAGAATCTGCCTAAGTGACAAGAATAAAGATTTTTCCACACTGGGGAGGAGAAGAGTCTGTTCATCCCTGTGGACTGGATGTTCAGTACCAAATATATAGAAATATTTATCCGCTGCTGGCTTTTTGCCTGCTATTCCTAGCTATCTTAAGAGACTTCTTGTAAGAAAGTCTCAGCATACGAAGTTACTAACCCTAAAGATACATTATCCAAATAGTTAAAAACAAGAAGAAACCTGCAAAACAACTTACCAAAGTCTTGAGTGCTGAAAAGGAATAAGTGATTTTGCTTAATCATGGTGCCTTGTGACAGGGTTTCTTAACATCAGATTCTCTACAGCAATTTTTTAGTATTTATTGAAAAAAAACAAAACCAAAGCCCTCTACCTGTGGTGATTGGTTTAATTTTATTTTTTTGTTTGGTGGTTTTTTAGAGTTTTGGTCTGTTTTTTTTTTTTTTGTTGTTGGTTTTCTTTTCAGGAGTCTTTTGAAACTGGACAGAATTTTTTCTGCTTTGGCTAACTGAATTTTCAGGCAGTTCAGTGGTGAGAATTCATTGTTTTCAAATGTGTTTTTAGCAAATAAGTAGGTTTCTCATGTGAAAAAAAAAACAAAACAAACAACAAAACAGAACAAGCAACTCCTTTGCTCTGTGTGTTACTAGAAGATGTGAGGGCCTGACTTAATATGGGGATGAATTTTTTAGTTTGTGGTTGTGAATGTATTTTTACTGGGGGTAGATGCCAGTGCAGCTTAGCAATAGGTATAATGTGTTAAGCTTTTTACTTCTATGCAGCTTACCCTGGAATAAATAACCGTGGTAGGAGAAGGCAGCAATACATCAAGTGTCCTATGCAGACACTGAACATTTTATCATTTTATCTGTGCTTTCTTTTTTTTTTTTTTTTTTTTTTTTTGAAAATTAAACCATTTTAGCCTCCAACACTGTGAATAAGGCACTGCAGAGGAATTGAGCTACCAGAAAAACGCAGGAAGCAGATCTATTTCCCCCGCCCCCCTCCACCCACCCCACTTGCTCGCGTTCCGTGTGGCAGAACTGGGACAGTTTCCCTGCTCTTTGGCACCCGGCGTCACTCACGCAGCTGAGTGGCTGCTGTGTGCAGTTTTCAGTGCAGGTGAATCCACTCGACACGTGACAAACGTGCTCACACTTCCCTGTGCTGGAACCGGGACTGCCGGTGGCCCACCCCGGTTTGTTTCTTGGCTCTGATGCAGTGGAAGGAGCCGCCTGGTTTTTCTGACAGGAGGTGGAATTCGGCAAGGAGCAGGAGCGCTGTGGTAGTTAAGAGGAGCCTGATTGTGTTCTGCACAAAAAGGGGTGCTCCGAAAAGCACAGGAATTAGACATGCTGCAAGTTGACAAAAATAGGTATTTTGAAGGCATTCTGCTTCCCCGTTTTTAAGCAACATGTAATTTTTCTAGTGCGCTGAAAGGTGCATTAGCCCTCTTTTAGCTTTCTAGAAGATAAAATCGTGGGGAGGTAGAAGGGCTTGAAGGTAGACACTTGAAGAAATGTAATGTGAGCTGTTGATGCTGGGTATTGTGGTCCTTTCCTGCACCTGGAAGACATCATGGAGGCAGTGATTTCTCCAGCATCATCCCATCCTGAAAGCAAAACAAAGATGTATGTGTTTATGTGCAAAGTTTGTTACTCTTTTCCAGCTGTAGCTGCTAGTATATTTGGGGATAAAAGTCTTTAAGAGTGCAATATGTTGCAATATTAATAGCCCTGAAATTGCTCACATTTGATTTCCTAACCCTTAAACTACAACAGAGATGTGATGAGTCACTGAGGGTGGGGTTGAGTATTGAACCACTGCATCTGAGACCTCTAAAAATAAATATAATGATTTATTCCCTATAGATTCCATTGCAATTGTCTCTTAAGAGTTAAATTCTTTGAGAAAAAGTATCTGAACAGCTGTGCTCTTAATACAGGATTAAATACAAACACATTTAGAACTTGGATAAAAAACAGTGAAGGTTCTTTCATGAGGAAACATGATTTAGCCTTGGATGTTATTTATTAGCTGTAAATAAGATATTTATGAGTGTAAAGGTAGTTTGTATATATTGCTAAAGTTGCTGACAGTCTCTGCATTAATACAGTTGTGTAGTATTAATCCTGTACATAGCTTTCAGAGATTTTTATCAACCAGCCACTTACACTGCATTATTTCCTATGTGGTTAATACATTTTTTATTTTAAGAAAGCTCCTCAGTTTTGTATAGAATGGAAACCTGTGGTTTTAATAAAATTCTCAAACTGATGCTGAAGTCACTACTTTTGTTTTGGTTAAACAGTCTGCTATCTGCTGAATAGCTTTTATGTGAAGGCCAGAACCTATCCTTGGATTCTGGGGATGAAGAGACAGGATGAGACTTTTTTTTTTTTTTTTTTTTAAAGGCAATGTAGGATTTCTGAGAGTCCTCTGGCTATTTTGTTTTGGAAAGTGCAAAAAACCGTCTTATAAGACATCAGGGAATCACTATGTGAAAGCAAGTATCCCTCATCAAAAGAGAAGTAGCTTGTTCCTTGCAAGTTGTGGTTTTCCAGTTTCAGGACCTTTTAAGAACTGTCCTTATTTTGAAATGCTAATTTCCTCTGATTTTTTTGGGTTTGTTTTTTTTTCTTTTTTAATTCAACAAGTGTTGGAATTATATTTCTGCTTCACCTTTTGCCAAAATACAGGCATTCTGATCCTGTGGGTACAGGGGGCAAGCACCAATCCCTAATCACCCCTACTACTGCTTAAGGAAGTAACTAAAAATCACTTTCACCCACGTGTTTTGAGTGCAGCTGAGCTCCAGCTTGGTTGTCACCAGAACAGTTTGCTCTGTCGTGCACGGCAAGGCTCTACCAAAGCAACAGAAGGGGGTTGCTGGAATTAAGGAGAAGTGGAGTGACATGCACATTTAAATTTATGTTAGGAGCACTCAGAGCATCTCCAAGTTGACTTGGGAACCTCTGCTTCCAACACTCGGTCAAAGATGACTGCTCTTTGACAAGAGCAGAACTTAATTCCCTGTGAAAGCAGAGGGAAGCTATGCCATGGAAAATGGATGGAGGGAGAGATATGAAGGGAAGAGGGAGGGTGGGGAGTACCCTGACAGAATCAGTGGAAGAGTCTGTAAAGTGGAATGCATGGAAATGCTGGCAATGGGTGTTCTAAGGACAGTGATCTTTCCTGTGTTTCAGTGTCTGGGTTGTGGGACTAGGAGGACTCCTACAGTTGTGGAAGACAAGGCCTGTCATCACATCTAAAAACACCATGGTATTGCCACCCTTTTAATGTCACAACAACCTCAATACAATAAACATGCTATTAGGTAAAGCAGAGAATAGCTTTTGTTGCATGTACAACAGTCCAGGTCTCCCCTCTGAGCCTTCAGAGCCATCCCTGGCCCTATTACTCTTCCCATCTTGCTCTGCAATGCCCAGCATTGGAAAAGGTGATCCCTTCTCACCCTGCCAACTGTCTCTGGAGAGGTCTGGCCAGCATAGGCTGTCCAATGGCTACCCAGTGGTTTGGACAAGTAGAAAGAAACGTTCTTGGCTGGAAGGAAAGGGTGGGGAAAAAAAAAGGATTTTAGCAGATGTACCTGCAAGGTGGGGAAACCCTGACTGAAGTTCCTGCTGCTTAGATTTTAATTCTACATATTTAATTCTGAGAAATTTTTGGAACCAGCAATGACTTTGCTCCCTATAGGTGTGCCCATACTTTCTCCATTCAGACATAGTTGTATGCCTGCTCTTTTGTGTGCTGTGAGCAAAACGTCAGCAGCTTGCTGGTTTAGATGAGCAAGGCAGTGTAAATTTGTTGTTTATAAAGGTGTTCACAAACAGATATTGAAAAATAATCAGTAGGAGGGAAGTATTAAAGTAGTTGTAGTATTTTGCTTTTTGTTTAGACCCGTCAATTCGGGGATCTCTATATTCTGACTGTCAATACAAACCTAGCAATATTAAAATCTTTAGGTCCAGAGGAAACAATTCAAATGCCATCAAGTTGTCATCATTCAGGAAAGAAATTTCTATCTGTAGTTGCTGCATCTTTTCAGAAAAGTCCTCTAGTCAAATGCCTTTTTGTAGCAGGTCTGGAAAGTCACTGGTTTATACATAAACAAATGAAGAACGGGATTAGCATTCTCCAGCGGCTGAAGGAGAACAAGGAAATGAGAAGAGGAAGGGAAGGGAACCATTTGGCAGAACATCCCATATAGAGCTTGTCTCAACAATGCTCTTATATCCGTGTGTGGTGCTATCTCTGCTCAGCAACACTTGCAGTGCTTCCCTAAATCAGTTCAAATTAACTCAGCCAGAACAATGCATCCTCATCAGAAATGCAGATGTGAAGAGGGAACCCTTCTGGATATAGCAGGTGTCAGTGTGGGTGTGCAGTGTGTGTTCAGTGATGTAATCTCCCAACCATTCAGGTCAGATAAACACTGTGTTCTTCATTGTAGGCCCTTCCTGTGGGAAGTCACCCGATATCTTTAGTCTCACTTCTTACCAATGACTCTAGAGAGTGTCTCTTACTGCTCGTCACCCCACCATGTCGAGCCATTCAGTGAATTGTCTGTCCTCAAGAGAGCCAGGAGGTGAGGACGTCTCGTGTTGTTCCACCCACCAAAGGCTTCTTCACCCACAATTACTTATGCACCTGGAATCTTCTAAGTGATAAAACGCAGGCACTCCAAGATAAGGAAATTAGGAGCAGCAGAAAGAGATTCCCAGGCTAGAACAGGCTGAAAAAATATCTAAGGATATCTACACTTTTTCAAAAGAAGCATTAAAAGAATAGAACTTCAAAAGTTTTCCTTGCTAGGTCCTCAGACTTGCTCTCTTCCTGTGGCGTGCTGCATTCAGGAGCTTTTGGGATTTGCTCCTGTAGTCTGAGAAACTGCTGCTGCACAAGTCCCCCTTAACCCATGGGATTAGAAACCTTTCCAGTGGGTGACTCTGGATTTAAGGAGAGGGCTACCAGCCTTGTGCTCCTGGTGAAAGAGCCAAACCTGCCTTCAGTGTGAGGTCTAATCAAAACTCCACCGAGGCTGGGAAAAGTATTTTTGTTGACAAAGTGGGACTTTTGAGTGCTTTCCTAACAACTGGCGTGATATCCTAGTTTTAAAATGAAAGCACAGCTGAGACTTTCTCATTTTTGGTACTCTCATGCATTGTTACCAAACTGAGAGCATACAGTGTCAGGTCATGATCTGCTCAGGCACTAGGTTACATATCAGCTCTGGATGACTTCTCACAAGTATTCCCAGCACCTCTTGGACAGCACAAACGTGATTATCTATAGGATACCACAACAAACAGCATAGGTGCAGTGATGAAAATGGCACCCGATTAAAATTAAAACAAACAAGCAGAAGTGTTTTAGAGGAGACAAGTGGGGGGTCTTTGGTGTTGCAGCAGTACTGTACTGTAAGATAGTTAAAACAGCCACACCAAACATTGCACAGCAGAGCTGTTAGGCATTCCCTTGATTTTAAATACGCAGTCTCTTGACATCAAGAAAATGGGAGTGTGCACCAGAAGCTAGGTATGCTCTTAAGTGCTCTACCTTGTGTTGTTATCTTAAAAATATTTAACCATAAAAAAAAAAAAATCCTAAAGAAATGTGTGTAAAGACCCATTATAGAAAGATCACTCAGATTACAGAATGATGAGCAAGATAAAAATAAAGGTTAAAAAGTAGAAGTGCATATTCAGAAAGAGGAATAAATTAAGGGGAAGAGGAAAAGCAAGGAAGAAGAGCTCTGCCTTAGCAAATTATTCCACCCATAACACCCACCCACATATTCTTGAATGTAATGGAGCTATTATTTATATATGACTAATTTTCCCTATTTTTAATGTATTTATAACCCAGACACAAAATTAAGCCAAATTTTGTTGTTTATCTTGGCAAAATTTTGCCCTTTGTTAGCCAAGTTTTCCAGTACAAGGGTAAAAAGTAGATCTGAATCTCTCTGATTTTATTTCCCAGGCCTTACACAGGAAATTCAGATCAGGCTCAATGCAACAGAAAGACTCCTTCTAATATCAGTCTTCTCTTAATGTCCTGAGCACAGAGCATTGATGGAGTAAGCAAATGCTTGCACAATGGCTGATTCAAAATATGAAAAATGCTTGCTTTTCTTTTTTCATTTTTTAATGTATAGATCTGTGTTCATGTGCCTTCCTGTACTTCTTTGTTCTTCTTTTAACATCAGTGAATTTGAAGACCCTAGGGAGAAATCAGGGAAATGCTAGGGAACATTCTTTTGACAGTAATTTTACCCCCTTACTTAAAGGAAAACTGAAAACAATTGCATGCCTGTGGCTGGATGTTTTTTAATGAAAGCCTAAAGTACCCAGTCACGTTCAAAATTGGGTGTCACTTCCACTCCCCGTCCCCCTCCCCTTCCCCTGCATTTGAAAGCATCATTTTCCATTTGCATGGGAGGCATCAGGAGAGGGAAAGAGGACCAGTCTTCTGTACAAGCCTTATTTGGGGCTTTTTGTCAGTGCTTTAGTAACCTTCTCTGAGATATTCGAGTTGCTCTAGGGTACCTCTTTGGGGTGACTAGTCCCTGACCATCACTGTTTTTGGCCATGGGGACAGAACCCCTATGATGGCACCCTTCTGGGTAGGAGTCCCACTGCCTTCAAGACTTCCTTGGGCATCTTAGGGGTAGGGATAAGTGCAATTACATGGGAGCATTTTTTCCAGACAAAGTGTAACTGAATTGGCAAAGAGCTCTGACAAGTAACTTTTAAATAACCAGAGAGGAGAACTTGTGTTTTCTTGCCAAGCTTAGACCAGATGCTTGGACATCTTTGTGTAAGTATGACTAAGTCTCTATGACCTTCTCTCCAAACTTATCCTTGCTTGCTGCTGAATCCTGTTTTTGATTTTTTTTTCCCTTTCATTTCTCTTTTGATAAAGTTTGCAGAATCTGGCATCCTTCCTCCCACCAATGCCCCTGTACTCCCTGTCCCATGACCTCATAGGACCCTGATGAATTTTTCTTTAACCTTACAAGACTGTCCTCCCTCCAGCCAGATAAGAGATCAGCCTGCATCAACTACTTCTCTAAAGATTTAGCAATATTTTTTTGCTTTTCTTGTTATGTTCCGTTTCACCCCAGCATGTGGTCTAGAAGCCCCCACAGATGGGGAGAAAAAGGCACCATGTTGAGATAACAAAATAGGTGTTTCAAATTCATCCGTAAGTTGATCAGAATAAAAGGACTTAGCTGTGAAACAATCTTCTGT